TACTAGGAGAGTGCTCCACTTTTCTGCAAGTACTCTGATTTTCCCTTGTAATAACACTGATTCAATAAGAGATGATCCTTACTACACCTCTAGGGAGAACTGATAGAGCCATCCAGTATAAATAAAGTTAGTTTAGTTTAGGTTTCCTCCTGTAGTAACACTGGATCAGTAAGAGATGATCCTTACTAAACCTCTAGGAAGAACAGTTTAGAACTGATAGAGCTATCCAGTATAAATAAAGTTAGTTTAGTTTAGGTTTCCTCCTGCAGTAAACACTAGATCAACAAGAGATGATCCTTACTGGACCTCTAGGGAGCACAGTTTAGAACAGATAGAACTAACCAGTATAAATAAAGGTAGTTTAGTTTAAGTTTCCTCCTGTAGTAACACTGGATCAATAAAAGATGATCCTTACTGGACCTCAAGGAACAGTTGAGAACTGATATAACTTAAAGTAATTAGTAAAACAAATAAGGTAATTAGTTTAGTTATTTTCTTCTGCAGAAGTCTGTAACACCGGATCAATGGGGAATACCGAATAGCCCGTTCGACACTGACAAATTCTTTATGTTTTCAGATACGCTGAACAAAAGTCTGAGAAAATCGCGATGAAAGAGGGCAGGTTTTACTACATCACAGTGTATCAGAAGGCAGAGAAACTAGGTGACTGTGCTTCGGTTGCTGTTGAGATGCCGAGTGGCCATTTTGAAGGTCCTCTTAAACAAAAACACTTGAGTTGGAAACTACCAGGTTGGTTGGGAAGAGCTGAAATACTGTCTATTAAAACATACTTTGTGTACGCCAACCCGCGTGCACTATCCAGCCTCGAATTTGGTTCAGGCTTGAATTTGGTTCAGATATTCATTCCAATAGTTTTTATTTTGTGTGTAATATTCATGTATCTCTTTCGTTTGTCAATTAAGATGGCCGAACTGGACCAGGTCCCTCATCGGAGTCATCAGGTATGTTTAACTTCATAAAAGAAATGAAAATAATTTGATAATTTGTAACTCAGTAAGATTTAAGATTTAATTATTAATTTCCAAAAAAGCAATAACAACTGGATTGCTCTGGAATTACATAGTATGTGAATACATTCTCTTAGCCTGTGTACAAACTGTAGCTCAGTTGGTCAGAGCGCTTCATCGGAATTGCAGAGACCCCTTATCGCAGGGATTCCTTACAGGGAACATGAGCGGCCGTGTTGTATCGGATATACAAACTCGAGCCGAAGGCGAGAATGGCTTAAAAAACGACTCATCTTATGAGTTCATTGGCGAAGTAATTTTAAAAATAAACGTTGTCTAAGCCGAGATAATCAAAGTTAAAGTTTAATAATGTAAATCAACATGAATCTGTATCACATATACAGACTCCTTCACGCCCATGATTTCTTTTGTGTTTTCTTCGTGAATTATTAATGAGTTTTTAAATATATATAAATTTCCACCCGATAATTCCATCTACAATACTTTTGTGCTGTCTGTACACAAGCTACATCATAGAAAGAATTTGATATATTCCACTCAATTTATGATAAACTCTTTGTACTTTTAGCTTTGCCTAAACCTGTTGGTTTGTTTCCCTTGGATAAGACATTTGGTGGGAAAGATGTCGTCAATCAAGAGAATGTCATACTTAAACATGTGCAATTAACCACTGGACCTGATGGTAAGATTTTCTGCATTTTTACTAGAGATGAGTAGTAAAAACAAACATCAGGGAAATGATGAAGTATACCTGGTGAAGTATATTGATCCAGTTCTGGTCGGATTTGAAATATCACTTGCAATGGATAATTATCTGATATTTTCTTTTTTATTTATTTAGAACGTAAAACAGCTTACGAATTTTCTGGCAACAAAGACTCTTATATTGAAATACCCCAAACCAGCCACCTCGATACTCAATATTCTATGACTCTATTGGCTGCAATATTTCCAACTGGAAAGAACGGTCCGATAATGCATTACTCTGCCGAGAAGTGGGGCGTTCATTTCTGGCAGTATAATGAAAATCAACTGTTTGTCAGGTTTGTGACACGAGATGGAGTGTTCACTCAACCTCTAGCAGCCAGAGTATTACAGGTATTTAACTACCTTCATTATTTTGTGCTGGATAGTTCTGTCAGTTCTAAACTGTTCTTCCTAGAGGTCCAGTAAGGATCATCTCTTATTGATCCAGTGTTACTACAGGAGGAAACCTAAACTAAACTAACTTTATTTATACTGGATAGCTCTATCAGTTCTAAACTGTTCTTCCTAGAGGTCCAGTAAGGATCATCTCTTATTAATCCAGTGTTATACTACAGGAGGAAACCTAAACTAAACTAACTTTATTTATACTGGATAGCTCTATTAGTTCTAAACTGTTCTTCCCAGAGGTCCAGTAAGGATCATCTCTTATTGACCCAGTGTTACTACAGGAGGAAACCTAAACTAAACTAAACTAACTTCATTTGTACTGGATAGCTCTATCAGTTCTAAACTGTTCTTCCCAGAGGTCCAGTAAGGATCATCTCTTATTAATCCAGTGTTACTACAGGAGGAAACCTAAACTACACAACTAGAGAAGATTATACAACTATAATACTAAGATAGATAGAAGCATCTATAAAACTAAAAAGTTGTATTTCGTGTTGCGGAGACTCTCAAACGTGGGAGAGGCAGTACCCCCAAAATGGCGGGAAAAAGTGGGCGCTAGAAGTGCTGATTATGGTAAATTGGGTTTTCATGCATTTACCTTTTTCTTCATGTCGTTCTAGCCAAACAAATGGAACGAGGTAGGCGCATCTTACGACAACCTGACTGGTGTTGCACAACTGTGGCATGATGGGAAGATGGTCAAAAGTCGAAATATTGGTCAGATACAACTTCGTACCCAGTTTCCCATCAGACTTGGCGCGGACAGCCGGGATAAACGTCAGTTCAAAGGAAAGATCTCTTGTCTACAGATATATAACCGCGCTTTGACGGCTGAACAAGTTGGCTCGCTCAGAAATTGTCCAGTTAAAGGTAAACTTTATGACCAAAATTCAAAGAAGACGCGACTATTTGCGTGCAATGTTATGCAATGCTTTACCACGTAAACGACATTGAAGGTCAATAATCTTGCGTTTATACACTTTCCTTTACTGCCAGGACTTAAATTCTTCATAGCTTCCTGGTATTAAGGGCACATAGTAATTGGTTTTAACTGTTGTGGTGTTTCCGCCATTTGTCACTTGTATAATATTGTATTTTATTTATTGAACGTTCTCTGACTAAATATTTATTTCTACGAGCTTTCGGCTATCAGTCTATAGCCTTCGACGGGTGTAGAATGAAGGCTATAGACTGATAGCCGAAAGCTCGTAGAAATAAATATTTAGTCAGAGAACGTTCAATAAATAAATTATGTTTCAACCTGGCTACGCATCCTCTATTTTTTCAAATATTGTATTTGTATTGTATGTGATAATGCATGTCATTCGTGTAATTTTACCCGGCGAAGTTGAATAAATAAATAAATAGATAAGTTAATATGTTTTTGTGGGATACCGTGCGTACAAATGCCTTCCACTTATTTTTTGAAATATTCGTATTATCTTTCTTGCAGGATTGAATGATGGAAAAGAGAACACACACTCAGGAACAGGTTTGTAAAGGCAGTTCAACATTATCGAAGTTTCTGTAATCACAGTGAAGAATTTTGCTCATGTACATAAATTCTACGTTTTGAAGAATTTGTAAAAAATTAACGCTAGAGTCAATTCCTTCAAACATTTCTCACAAATCCTTTAAAACTTACGCCCGTATTCTAAAAGCTCACTCACACTCAATGAGTGGAGGTTCAATCTGAGCTTCTATTGAGTCTCAATGCTGTTTTTGAATAGCTGGAGGGTGAGTATTCACCGAGTAAGGTATGACACCAGCCCTCCAGCTATTCAAAAACAGTATTAACACTCAGGAGAAGCTCAGATTGAACCTCCACTCATTGAGTGTGAGTGTGAGTGAGCTTTTAGAATACGGGCGTTAGAATTTACCCATGCAAAATTCCTACTGTGATCACAGAAACGTTGGTAGTGTAACCCAGCCTTAATGTTTCCATGTATCTGTATAAGTAATAGAATGATTAAGAGTTCAATTTGAAGTAATTTGATAGTGTAAAGGAAATTCAACACTTTTTCCACTACTGGCATATCTATGTACGTCCATATGTACACTCAAAGAGTGGAGGTTCAATCTGAGCTTCCCTTGAGTGTCAGTGCGGTTTTTGAATAGCTGGAGGGTGAGTAGTCACATAGTAAGGTGCGACTCAAACCTCCAGCTATTCAAAAACACCACTGACACTCAAGAGAAGCTCAGATTGAACTCCACTCTTTGAGTTTGAGCTTTTAGAATACAGGCGATGGTTTTCAAGTGGAAGCAGTAATGACTGAATAATAAATTATTTCAAAATTAAACTCTTGTTTTTGTTTGGTTAAGGACTAAGCGCTCCAGGTTCCTCAGTGAATCAACTACAGGAGGAAGACACGGAAGAAGAAATCCAAGGTAATATTCACTATAACCTCGCCTTCTACGACAATCACGTCGTTTCACACAGTTTCACGATGGGGCAAATAGTTTGAAATATACCTTGAAATATTTTTCTTTTATTTTGTTGTAGGCTCAGAAGTTACATCTGGTAAGATTGATTTTAGAAATTTTCTAACCTTAATTCAAACAGAGAGGGCGCAATGGACAATTCCCATTATACACTAATTTTAAAACTAGACAAGGAGATGCAAATAAATCATCACAGCTAGAAAGAGCATACAAAAATGAGTAAAATTGCAAAGTTTGATTGCGAATTGTTGTAAAATGCGGAAAGTTTGCAAATTTTGTGTATTGCGTGCGCATGCAAATTGCTACTATATTTGGGCCGAAAATGGTGCAATTTCCGCACGCAATCCAAAAGTATACAAAATTTGCAAACTTTGCAAGGCTATATTTTCCGCATTTTACAACATTTTGCAACCAAAAGTTGCAATTTTAATAATTTTAATATGCTCTTTCTAGCTGTTTTAAAATTATTCTATAATGGGAATTGTCTATTACAAACACATTGCGGATGGATGTCAATTACAAGATTGTTTTCTTTTTCTAGTGAACAAATGTCGTCCTAATCCCTGCCAAAACGCAGCAAGATGTTTGATTGATTTGAAGAGAATGGATGGTTACCGCTGTCGCTGTACTTCAGATTTCACAGGACGTCACTGTCAAGGTGGCTAGTTTTTGTTATTGCATGCAAGAGCGGATTTTCATTTTTTAAAAGGAGGGGTTACAAGAAATGCAACTACAGGATCTTTGACAGGAATTGAACCTCGTCTTTTTCAGTTTCCAAGCCTGACGCGAAGTCTCCCGTTGTGAAAAAGGCCACCATATCTCGTCCAAAGACGGAGCCCAAGGAAGAGATAACTGCAACGAAAAGTGTCCACGGTATTACTACTTTCTTAGTTAGAATATTCTTGTAATATTTCCACTAGAACATTCTTATTTCCAAATGGAACATTCTTATTTCCAAATCGATCATTCTTATTTCCAATGGAACATTCTTATTTCCAATGGAACATTCTTATTTCCAATGGAACATTCTTATTTCCAAATGGAACATTCTTATTTCCAATGGAACATTCTTATGAAAGTCACTGGATGATGACCAGTCATGGCGCTATATTTCTATCCTAAATGGCAGTTTGGTCCATGCTAATGCTAACATATACATTTTTAAGGGAGTATTGCCAAGGAAACGAAAAATGACGTGTACTTGTTGTACCAAAAAGTTGGTTGCTACCATGACAACGTACAACAACGCGACTTGCCCACCCGTCCGTCAATGAAATCTGTCACTCAGGAACAATGTGTCAAAGAATGTGCCATAAAGGACGAAACATTTTCTTATTTTGGACTGCAAGATGGGGAACAATGTTTCTGTGGGAAGTCGTATGGGAAATATGGTCGCGCTAAGAACGAATTGTGCAACAAGCGCTGTCGAGGGAATGAGGATGAAAACTGTGGAGGAAAGAATAATAATATGATTTACTTCTATGGCATTGGTAAGTACTGTTTGATTTTGAACTGGGAGAACTATCCAATAAAAGATAAAGTTTAGTTTAGGTTTCCTCCTGTAGTAACACTGGATCAATAAGAGATGATTCTTACTGGACCTCTCGGTACAACAGTTTAGAACTGATAGAGCTATCCAGTATAAATAAAGTTAGTTTAGTTTAGGTTTCCTCCTGTACTAACACTGGGCCAATAAGAGATAATCCTTACTGGACCTCTATGAAGAACAGTTTAGAACTGATCGAGCTATCCATTATAAAAAAAAGTTAGTTTAGTTTAGGTTTTTTCCTGTAGTAACGCTGGATCAATAAAAGATCATCGTTACTGGACCTCTTTTAATTACAGTCTAGAACTGTTAGAGCTATCCAGTATAAATAAAGTTAGTTTAGTTTAGGTTTCCTCCTGTAGAAACACTGGATCAATAATAGATGGTCCTTACTGGACCTCTAGTAAGAACAGTTTAGAATTGATAGATCTATTCAGTATAAATAAAGTTAGTTTAGTTTAGGTTTCCTCCTATAATAACACTGGATTAAGAAGAGATGATCTTCTAAAGTGATTCTCGGATTTCCAGTGCGAAGTAACGGAACAATCGGGAATAAATAATGTAATATATATTTTCAGGCACAAACTACACTATCCGTACCTACACTGGCAACGCGTTGGGGGCTGGGACCAAGGCAAATATTTATTTGACTTTATTTGGAGACAAAGGAGACTCTGGATTCAGAATGTTAAGTCCTGGTGACAAGAAGTACCAAAAAGGAAGGTAAGAAAGTGAAACGTATAATCTGCTTGCCCTCCAAGACCAGGAATGAAGATACTGACTTCTTCATTAGTTTTGTTGTTTTGAGTTTGAAGAGTAGAGGTTCCTTTACCAGAGTCCCCACGGTCCTTGAAAATCCTGGAAAGTTCTTGAATTTGTTAAAAAATCCAGGCCTAGAAAGTCCTTGGAAACTGATAAGATCCTTGAAAGTCCTGGAATTTTTTTCTAGTAGGCTGGAAATAATTGAAGAATTATTACCAGCCTAAGGATTATTGCCCAAATGTTTATTTTCTCCAATTTCATTTTCTCCGATGTCATTTTTTCTAATTGTATTCCTCTCCTTAAGTTTAAGGATAAAAGTTAGATGATTTTCAAAGATTTTTTCAGTTGCCAGGTCCTAGAATATACTGAAAAAGGTCCTTTGAAAGTTCTGGAAAAGTCCTTAAATTTCGTCTTCAGTAAAAGGTGGGGACCCTGCCTTATAGTATGTTAACGTTCTTATTCATTGATAGTGTGGACACTCAAGTAATGTCTCTACCGGAGCTCGGTGACTTGAGAAAAGTACGAGTATTGCATGATAATTCTGGCAATGATCCTAGCTGGTTCTTAGACAAGGTAATATACTACTTTCATGTTAAACTAATCTAGGTAAAAAAAGTGAATTCTCGTAGAGAACTCATTAAAATTAGTAAAACTGCAAAATTTGGTTGCGAAATGTTGTAAAGTACGGAAAATACTGAGTCTTGCGAAGTTTGCCTTCACCTCATTTTAAGTAGTGATATTATTTCAAATCCTCCAATTCGGGCTGGACTAGATTTCAAACTTGATAAAATTGCGTAAACTTGAAATTTAGTCCACTCCTCAAAGTCGGATTTGAAATATTACTTCGATCATTTTTGCGTTCAGACTATATGACAGGGTGCGATAATTCGCGTACCAACGTACCGGAGGTACGCCAAATTTATGGTCTGGTACTTCTTTGTTTTTAGCCAAGTACCACGTAGGTACGCGAAAATTTACTATTCGCGTACTTACACTATTTCCCTTCTAGCAATAACTAGCCAACCTGCCACCACTGTATGTAGCTGAGGTCAGACAGTTAGCACCCTCGTTAAATCCACTATAAATGAGCGATGGCATTCGAGCCACAAGGTCGACGCTTTGAGAACTGTTATATTATGTTGTACAAATACCATAATTAAAGATTAATTTGTACAAAATTGCCCATACATTTTTTTTGCTTTTAGACCAGTATTAAAACTATACGTAGGTATAAAAACGCATGACTCGGAAGTAGTCTTAAGTACGTCCGGACTCTCAAGTTTGTACCAGATCAGGTACGCGGCAAAAGTTGTCGGAGTACCAGTCAGGTACGGCCAAAAATATTGAATTATCGCACCCTGTATATGAGACTTGTTGGAACAGTTTGTTGCGAGTCTTTGGGCTTCGCGAGCGTGGAAATACCTCTGACACGCACAGAGTAGAGTAGGATCTTCAACTGATGAAATATAATTTTGTTTTACAGGTGGTAGTCGAGGATGAACATGGAAAAACGTATGAGTTTTCATGTAATCAATGGTTGAGTGAAGGTCAGGGTGGTGGAAAAACGGAAAGATTACTCACTTTAAAGAAGAGAAAACGAAGCCATATCTAGGTGCGTTTGCCTTTTGAACCATCGTTCAGTTAATTGGATGAAACACTGAAGCGTGAAATACTAAACCCCCTGTCAAACGAGAATGATAGTTGGTCGGAGAGTTGAGAAGCGAGAGTTTGCATGAGATTTTCTCAACTCTTAAACCTGGTTCACACTAACTTTTGTCGGCGATTTTGTGTTTTTGACCGATGCAAATGAGTGAACTAGCGCACAAAACTATAGAGTTTCCTGTGAAAAGTAAACAATTCTAAGACTTTTGCCTGTCTTTCAATCCATCACATTTGCCTGGAGACTTTTTACTTTTGTGTGCGACGCACTCGTTTACACCCATATTTCTTTCTCTTAATTTCCCCAAAAGCAAATATCTAATTTCGTTTAAAAAGTGACCGACTATTTTGATGTTGTGACCAAATAATTTTGAACTTAAAAATTATTAGGGGGTGTGTTACACCGCCTTCCCCCCAGGGGACCTCAATTGATTTGGTTACTGATGCACCATGAGAAAACTATCGATGTAAAAAAAAATATCATAAACCACAATGGTTTAGATACCAGTTAAAAATATGGTAATCATATAAATAAAAAATAAACTAATTGAATCTAAAAGAAACTTAAAATAAACTTAAGTTTATCATAAACTGAAATATGTATAACACATGCTAGAATTATATAAAATATATTGTTGTATTGAGTCTATGGCTGAGTTTACAATGTTCCAGATAGCTTTCTGTAGCAACGTGAAACGCCTATCCTCCAGGAACGCAATTTTTAGAGGAATTATTGGAACGGAGAGATGTTGTTTCGCTCAGCTTCTGAAAGTTGTACATTCCTTATCGGATAGGTGCTTTTCGCGCCACTACGGAAAACTATCAGGTATAGTGGAAACGGAACCTATATGTATTATAAAACTGCTTATTAATTTAAGTCCTAAAACTCTAAATTAGCTAAACATTCACAAATATATGGAGCGATTTAAACTTATTCATTTATAATGATATAATATAGTAATATTTAATAAAATATTGAATCTATATTCATTTAAATTAATTAAAGATTTTACGTTGCAGTATCAATAAAAGTTAAATTAGTTTTAAAATAGTTATTCTTATTTGTTAATTTGCTTATGGTTATTGATTTTGTTGGCATGTCACTCATTCAGTAATAGTTGAAGGGTCTCGTAAATGAAATCGAGTGGAAATTTATACTCAGGTTGTTATAATATTTTAGTATTTTTGCACAAGTGAATATAACAAATCTCAACCTCGTACCCAGGGCATTTTGGTCCCCCGGCCACAAATCCTACAAGTTGATTCGTCAAATTTGACGTATTTTAAAGCTGTTATTTTTTATTCACCTATATAACAAAACCGAAATTTGCAAAATAATGGGAAATTAGCATACAGGGCGCTTATCATCCTCGTTCCCAGGCTTTGCCACTTGTATAGAAACGCGCAATAGGCGTACTATGAGGCCTAGGGACTAGGCTGTATAAGTGCGCATAGGTGCGCTCTGGTCACATGATTTTGTGCGCACTGTTTGCCTGCGAATCGGGCCTTTCAGAACCGGAAATCGGGCTGGAACACGCGTTCATTTGTAGTGAGTTTTGATTTCAAAAAAGTACGACAAATGGTAAAATTCGCACGGTGCTCGTTTGCAAAAGCAACTCCAACAAGGTCCCCCTTTTGCTTACCCCATGGCTGCCTGTGGTCCCCCTTTTCATTTGATTTGATTTGCGTTTTACCCATATCAGTAGTTTTTACCCTACCGTTTTATATGCGTTTGTGGCATGCGCATTGCCTTTATGGGCCTCGGAATTTGTCGACATGCATCGTAGTGATCCTGGTTTCCGACGTATTTCCGGAATGTTCCGAATTTCGGGTTTTTGTATCTCCGCGTGGCAAAAATGGCGTAAAAATTATTTTGCTGGTTTATATTGATCAATCATACCTTTATTTGAAGGTAATATGCTTTATTTAATATCAGTATTTGTAGTAGAATACTTAGATTGCTAATGTAGATGGAATTTTTAGGACATCGGGCTCGAATTAAGTGCGAAATGTTCGGTATAAAGTTTGTAATTTGCACGTGCAGTCGTGCATCGGTTTCGTCGATTGTCGAAATAAAAACCGTGATCTGTTCTTATTTATACCACTGACCAATATAAATGCAACTTTTATATTTGTTTACAATCGAAGTTCGAACTTTGAAATGAACTTGCGAAACCGCGCTTTGAAAAGTTAAATAAGAAATCGACAGTAATCGATAATTCGATATATGGTCATATGCACTAGCCCAGGAAGGGCGGGGAATAATTAAAGGGGAATGGCTGTGGATTAAAGCCCGTTCTCCACTAGGCGAATTTATTCGCGCGATCCTACTTTTTCGCCGCAAATTTTTTCTCCGACCAATCACGTTGCCGGATTTCGGTTTTTGCGTCGCGCGAACAAATTCGCGTAGTGGAGAACGGGCTTAACGCAGGTTTGTACAGGGTAGATAACAAGTTAATTTATTAGCCGGGACTTTAATGCCAGGGTGAATCTCTCAATTTTTCTGCGCCGAAGATTTTTCAAATTCATGTAAAGCTGCGCCAAAACCTGCGCCAAGAAAATTGTCGCGAAAAAATATGCGGTTTTCGGAAATATCCGAAATTTTCACCGAATTTTCGAAATTTGGCTTTTCATTCTTCTCGAATCATAATTTCAAATATACTGTTACATAAATGCTCAATTGCTTCACCAAATATTTGCCAAATTGCTGCGCCAAATGGATCTTTGGGATCATTCTGCGCCAAATTGTTGTGCCAAATCAATATTTGCGATCAATCTGCGGCAAAATGTGCACCAAATTTTGTTCGAGTCGCTGTTCTGTGCCGAATATCTTTCGGAAATACACCCTCAAATTCACCCTCGCTTTAATGTGCGGCTAATGTGAAAGTGGACTAGAACGAGTTTATCCTCGTGGCATTTATAAACTTTTGTCTGTTTTATCATTGTTTCCTCATAGTTATTTTTTTTTAAAATGATGATTGCATGATAGTTGAAACGTAGATTACTCGGTATCTTTTGATGCGGATCAAAGTTTAAGATCAATTGATGCCATTTTATACTTCAACGATTTCTCAAGTCATGAAAATTTGCAAAGTGCCGGGGTCATAAGGGAGGTAACTTTAACCGTCAATATTCCCCCGGTAACGGGATTCCGGCCGGAACTAACCTGCTGGAACCCCCTAAACATTAGGTCAGAGAAAATAGTGTTGGCTGGAAAAGATATTCTGTTTCAGCCTCTGGTGCTCCGCACATGTTCGTATCGAGTTTTTCACCTCGCTAGCCAAGCTATTCACATCCTCAGCAAAATTCTCATAATTTTTTGTAGATGCACAGTGCAAGTTCCAAGAATGTCACAAGCCCCTGTCTCAAGATCTCATGAGTACAACTATTCCATTTATGTTATTGTAGACTGATTATTTCAAGGGGTTTTGTAGAAGGAAATTTCAAGATTTATTTTAAACATTTATTGGACCTAACCACAAGCAGTTACAAAAAATGCAACTACAGGCTCTTTGACAGGAATTGAACCTCGTCTTTTTCAGTTTCCAAGCCTGACGCGAAGTCTCCCGTTGTGAAAAAGGCCACTATATCTCGTCCAAAGACGGAGCCCAAGGAAGAGATAACTGCAACGAAAAGTGTCCACGGTATTACCACTTTCTTAGTTAGAATATTCTTATTTCCAATAGAACATTCTTATTTCCAAATGGAACATTCTTATTTCCAATGGAACATTCTTATTTCCAATGAAGCATTCTTATTTCCAATGAAGCATTCTTATTTCCAATAGGACATTCTTATTTCCAAATGGAACATTCTTAATTCCAAATGGAACATTCTTATTTCCAATGGAACATTCTTATTTTCAGTCACTGGATTGTGACCAATCATGGCGCTATATTTCTATCCTAAATGGCAGCTAGGTCCATGCTAATGCTAACATATACATTTTTAAGGGAGTATTGCCAAGGAAACGAAAAATGACGTGTACTTGTTGTACCAAAAAGTTGGTTGCTACCATGACAACGTACAACAACGCGACTTGCCCACCCGTCCGTCAATGAAATCTGTCACTCAGGAACAATGTGTCAAAGAATGTGCCATGAAGGACGAAACATTTTCTTATTTTGGACTGCAAGATGGGGAACAATGTTTCTGTGGGAAGTCGTATGGGAAATATGGTCGCGCTAAAAACGAATTGTGCAACAAGCGCTGTCGAGGGAATCAGGATGAAAACTGTGGAGGAAAGAATAATAATATGATTTACTTCTATGGCATTGGTAAGTACTGTTTGATTTTGAACTGGGAGAACTATCCAATAAAAGATAAAGTTTAGTTTAGGTATCCTCCTGTATAGTAACACTGGATCAATAAGAGATGATCCTTACTGGACCTCTCGGTACAACAGTTTAGAACTGATAGAGCTATCCAGTATAAATAAAGTTAGTTCAGTGTAGGTTTCCTCCTGTACTAACACTGGATCAATAAGAGATAATCCTTACTGGACCTCTATGAAGAACAGTTTAGAACTGATAGAGCTATCCATTATAAAAAAGTTAGTTTAGTTTAGGTTTTCTCCTGTAGTAACGCTGGATCAATAAAAGATCATCGTTACTGGACCTCTTTTAATTACAGTCTAGAACTGTTAGAGCTATCCAGTATAAATAAAGTTAGTTTAGTTTAGGTTTCCTCCTGTAGTAACACTGGATCAATAATAGATGGTCCTTACTGGACCTCTAGTAAGAACAGTTTAGAATTGATAGATCTATCCAGTATAAATAAAGTTAGTTTAGTTTAGGTTTCCTCCTATAATAACACTGGATTAAGAAGAGATGATCTTCTAAAGTGATTCTCGGATTTCCAGTGCGAAGTAACGGAACAATCGGGAATAAATAATGTAATATATATTTTCAGGCACAAACTACACTATCCGTACCTACACTGGCAACGCGTTGGGGGCTGGGACCAAGGCAAATATTTATTTGACTTTATTTGGAGACAAAGGAGACTCTGGATTCAGAATGTTAAGTCCTGGTGACAAGAAGTACCAAAAAGGAAGGTAAGAAAGTGAAACGTATAATCTGCTTGCCCTCCAAGACCAGGAATGAAGACACTGACTTCTTCATTAGTTTTGTTGTTTTGAGTTTGAAGAGTAGAGGTTCCTTTACCAGAGTCCCCACGGTCCTTGAAAATCCTGGAAAGTTCTTGAATTTGTTAAAAAATCCAGGCCTAGAAAGTCCTTGGAAACTGATAAGATCCTTGAAAGTCCTGGAATTTTTTTCTAGTAGGCTGGAAATAATTGAAGAATTATTACCAGCCTAAGGATTATTGCCCAAATGTTTATTTTCTCCAATTTCATTTTCTCCGATGTCATTTTTTCTAATTGTATTCCTCTCCTGAAGTTTAAGGATAAAAGTTAGATGATTTTCAAAGATTTTTTCAGTTGCCAGGTCCTAGAATATACTGAAAAAGGTCCTTTGAAAGTTCTGGAAAAGTCCTTAAATTTCGTCTACAGTAAAAGGTGGGGACCCTGCCTTATAGTATGTTAACGTTCTTATTCATTGATAGTGTGGACACTCAAGTAATGTCTCTACCGGAGCTCGGTGACTTGAGAAAAGTACGAGTATTGCATGATAATTCTGGCGATGATCCTAGCTGGTTCTTAGATAAGGTAATATACAACTTGCATGTTAAACTAATCTAGGTAAAAAAGTGAATTCTCGTAGAGAACTCTTTATAATTAGTAAAACTGCAAAATTTGGTTGCGAAATGTTGTAAATGTCAAATCCTCCAATTCGGGCTGGACTAGATTTCAAACTTGATAAAATTGCGTGGGCTTGAAACGTAGTCCACTCCTCAAAGTCGGATTTGAAATATTACTTCGATCATTTTTGCGTTCAGACTATATGAGACTTGTTGGAACAGTTTGTTGCGAGTCTTTGGGCTTCGCGAGCGTGGAAATACCTCTGACACGCACACTCGCACAGAGTAGAGTAGGATCTTCAACTGATGAAATATAATTTTGTTTTACAGGTGGTAGTCGAGGATGAACATGGAAAAACGTATGAGTTTTCATGTAATCAATGGTTGAGTGAAGGTCAGGGTGGTGGAAAAACGGAAAGATTACTCACTTTAAAGAAGAGAAAACGAAGCCATATCTAGGTGCGTTTGCCTTTTGAACCATCGTTTAGTTAATTGGATGAAACACTGAAGCGTGAAATACTAAACCCCCTGTCAAACGAGAATGATAGTTGGTCGGAGAGTTGAGAAGCGAGAGTTTGCATGAGATTTTCTCAACTCTTAAACCTGGTTCACACTAACTTTTGTCGGCGATTTTGTGTTTTTGACCGATGCAAATGAGTGAACTAGCGCACGAAACTATAGAGTTTCCTGTGAAAAGTAAACAATTCTAAGACTTTTGCCTGTCTTTCAATCCATCACATTTGCCTGGAGACTTTGTACTTTTGTGTGCGACGCACTCGTTTACACCCATATTTCTTTCTCTTAATTTCCCCAAAAGCAAATATCTAATTTCGTTTAAAAAGTGACCGACTATTTTGATGTTGTGACCAAATAATTTTGAACTTAAAAATTATTAGGGGGTGTGTTACACCGCCTTCCCCCCAGGCGACCTCAATTGATTTGGTTACTGATGCACCATGAGAAAACTATCGATGTAAAAAAAAATATCATAAACCACAATGGTTTAGATACCAGTTAAAAATATGGTAATCATATAAATAAAAAATAAACTAATTGAATCTAAAAGAAACTTAAAATAAACTTAAGTTTATCATAAACTGAAATATGTATAACACATGCTAGAATTATATAAAATATATTGTTGTATTGAGTCTATGGCTGAGTTTACAATGTTCCAGATAGCTTTCTGTAGCGACGTGAAACGCCTATCCTCCAGGAACGCAATTTTTAGAGGAATTATTGGAACGGAGAGATGTTGTTTCGCTCAGCTTCTGAAAGTTGTACATTCCTTATCGGATAGGTGCTTTTCGCGCCACTACGGAAAACTATCAGGTATAGTGGAAACGGAACCTATATGTATTATAAAACTGCTTATTAATTTAAGTCCTAAAACTCTAAATTAGCTAAACATTCACAAATATATGGAGCGATTTAAACTTATTCATTTATAATGATATAATATAGTAATATTTAATAAAATATTGAATCTATATTCATTTAAATTAATTAAAGATTTTACGTTGCAGTATCAATAAAAGTTAAATTAGTTTTAAAATAGTTATTCTTATTTGTTAATTTGCTTATGGTTATTGATTTTGTTGGCATGTCACTCATTCAGTAATAGTTGAAGGGTCTCGTAAATGAAATCGAGTGGAAATTTATACTCAGGTTGTTATAATATTTTAGTATTTTTGCACAAGTGAATATAACAAATCTCAACCTCGTACCCAGGGCATTTTGGTCCCCCGGCCACAAATCCTACAAGTTGATTCGTCAAATTTGACGTATTTTAAAGCTGTTATTTTTTATTCACCTATATAACAAAACCGAAATTTGCAAAATAATGGGAAATTAGCATACAGGGCGCTTATCATCCTCGTTCCCAGGCTTTGCCACTTGTATAGAAACGCGCAATAGGCGTACTATGAGGCCTAGGGACTAGGCTGTATAAGTGCGCATAGGTGCGCTCTGGTCACATGATTTTGTGCGCACTGTTTGCCTGCGAATCGGGCCTTTCAGAACCGGAAATCGGGCTGGAACACGCGTTCATTTGTAGTGAGTTTTGATTTCAAAAAAGTACGACAAATGGTAAAATTCGCACGGTGCTCGTTTGCAAAAGCAACTCCAACAAGGTCCCCCTTTTGCTTACCCCATGGCTGCCTGTGGTCCCCCTTTTCATTTGATTTGATTTGCGTTTTACCCATATCAGTAGTTTTTACCCTACCGTTTTATATGCGTTTGTGGCATGCGCATTGCCTTTATGGGCCTCGGAATTTGTCGACATGCATCGTAGTGATCCTGGTTTCCGACGTATTTCCGGAATGTTCCGAATTTCGGGTTTTTGTATCTCCGCGTGGCAAAAATGGCGTAAAAATTATTTTGCTGGTTTATATTGATCAATCATACCTTTATTTGAAGGTAATATGCTTTATTTAATATCAGTATTTGTAGTAGAATACTTAGATTGCTAATGTAGATGGAATTTTTAGGACATCGGGCTCGAATTAAGTGCGAAATGTTCGGTATAAAGTTTGTAATTTGCACGTGCAGTCGTGCATCGGTTTCGTCGATTGTCGAAATAAAAACCGTGATCTGTTCTTATTTATACCACTGACCAATATAAATGCAACTTTTATATTTGTTTACAATCGAAGTTCGAACTTTGAAATGAACTTGCGAAACCGCGCTTTGAAAAGTTAAATAAGAAATCGACAGTAATCGATAATTCGATATATGGTCATATGCACTAG